TCTAGTTTTGATTTCACCGAATGTCAAGATAATAGAAATCTGCATCATGTTATATCTACTTATTTGTTGGGGGAGCTATTTCCTAGATGCTAAGCAAACACTTGTAGCTTATTCTACTATGCCAGTAGAGTTTGTAGCTTATTATGAGGCATCCAATCATGAAATATAATTGCGAAATTTTATCAGTGGGTTGCGTATTGTTGATGACATAAAAAAACTATTAAAGATATTTTGTGACAATAAGTCTGCAGTTATGTATTCAAACAACAACAGGAGCTTGACGAAGTCAAAACATACACATATCAAGTTCTTCGTTATTAAAAAAAGAGTTCAAAGTAAATATATATCGATAGAGTACATTAAAACAAACTCCATGATTGCAGATCTGCTCACTAAGGGATTACCACTTAAGGTCTTTCATGAGTACACTGCTCATATGGGTGTTGTATTCTTAGATGATGTATAGGTTCAGTGGTAGTTTTGTACCATAGTTACGACATGTCATAAACTTTATAGTTTGGTTTTGGTTTTGGTTTTGGTTTATATGATTTTATTCCAGTTTTTATATTTTATTTTTATTTATATATATTATCTCTGAGTTTTTTTACAGTTGATCTCATTAAAGTTAAGATAGGACTAGTTGAAAATAAGCATGCTTAGATCACATAACATGTAATTTTCATACTGCACATCTATACTTGTCTACGTCGTTTGGTTATACTGATATACGTGACCATTGATGGGTTTAGCTACATTAGTTGTAACGAAAGCCACTTTGATCTTATGTCATTATGATCGATTGACGAGATTGTTTGGTAATGCATTCAAGTATTAATAACACGGTTTTAAGTACTCCTACAGTTATTTAACGCATAGTGAATATATCACATAAAGTCTAAATTAGAGATTGTTGGATTTTTTCTAACATGTGGGCTTAATATGGGCCTTAGTATGCGTATCAGACTATCAATTTAATGAGGTCGTTTAAAATTAATTAAATATAGTTAAACAGTATTGGACCTTAATACATTGGGTTTAAGTATGAACTTATAATGTGTTGATACTATTTTTGTAATATTCTTATTTTATGATGGACAAAATAAAAATTATAAAAGTTTGTCGATGTAAAAAGTGGTTATGGTCCCTGAATCACAAGATCATCATTTTATTTTTCTAAAATTCCGTAACAAAAAAATTAGTTTTTTGAGACATCGTGTTGATTCAGAAGATTTTACTGCTGGACACAAATAATTTTTCCACGATGGATCCAAGTACGCTTCTATTTACATTTTTTGTTGATTCAATATGAGATTACTTGCTTATATTTACAGATCTATTGATTTAAAAAGTATTTTTATTCCACCATGGGTTATCCTAAATGCTAAAAATTAATAGATATTTCTTAGCTTAGCCTTTAAGAATCTTCTTGGATTTCATTCAAGTGCTAAAACTTTTAGTAGATCTAGCAACCATCAAGATTCATGCTCAAGTGATTGTCTTGGGCTTCTCTCATGTGCTCAACACTATCTGACACTTCATGTGTTTGACCTTCAAGGACCCTTCTGCATGTGTATCTTGAGATTTTCAGTAATAATCATGTACCACATTTAATATTTGATTATCACATTTTTAAAGTAGTATAAAATTGGCTTAGTTACGTAGACATTATATATATCCACAACACTACTTTGTTTAAGCATATTTGTTATCTTTAAGTCTATGTACAATCATATTCTTCTAAATAGGCATTTAGATGGGACCACTTCTTTGCTCCTCAACTACCACATTATTAAATAAGATGAAACTTCTTTTATATTTAAAACAATGGAAAAGGAAGTTGATGTGAACATAATATTTAAAACATTAATTAATTGTTTATGAAATGAACATGATTAGATGGTGCAAAGGACTCCATATGAAATGAACTTTTGTAACTAAATGAATTATTATGAAGTTTACTACCATGTTCATTATCTATGTCTCCTCTTCTTCTACTTTGATCTCGATTTCTACACCTTCCATCTCCTCTATGTTTACCTACTAAATGATCCTCATCACAAAAGCTCTTTATTATATCTTCCTCTAGGCCCTCCGTGAGGAGTACTCATAACCTACACATTGAGATCTACCATAATCTCTAGGAAATCCTTCACCTCTTGCTCTAATATCTCCATCATGTATGTTATAAATTCCTTTCTTTCATCATATGTTTGTTTATGTATAAATACCATATAAGCTTGTTTTATACCACTATGAGGAAAAAAAAAGTAAACAAATATGTATATATAGATAAAGTTTTTCTATTTCTCATGAATCTCTAACAACCCCTCATCTTGTGTCTATTTTCTAATAGTTTGCACTTAACTAGGCATGATATTCTTTTAGCAGCAGATAAATATCACTTAAGTCTTTTCTTCTATTAACAAGTGACATATAAGAAAATCTCTTTAGAGGTAAAACATGTATTTCCTCAGTAATTGATTAGAAGTCAAGTCAACTTTAAGTAATGAGTGTATATACTCACTAGTATATTTTTATATTTCTCCACTCTTAGGTATTCAATAGTAATAAACCATATTTCTCCCTTTATGCTTGATTATTAGTATCGCATGCTTAGATGATAAAAATGTTTCATCTTAATATTCATAACTTTATGCTCTATATAGAGTTAATAACTTATGGAATGGTATGCACAGTATACTCATTATACTTTAATACTTAATGCTTAATATTGTTGAATTAATTGCATGTTTTTTTTTCATATTTTTCTCATCTTCTATGTGTTACTTATATTTCATATGCTTAAATCTCTTACTCAACATAATTTTTTTAGGAGTTGATTTGTTTACCAATTTTTTAAGGGCTAGTTCTTATCTTTCAAAATCGCTTAATTATTCTTTTTTCTCCTTTATTTTTCTTCTATTTGATACCTTTTAACAATGGTATCAAAGCTTGAAAAAAGAAGACATTATAGCCTTTTTACAAACACCAGTAGTTCTTCATGGCAGCAAAAAATTTCATATAACTTATAATTCCCCGTTTTGATGGTCAATATGATCATTAAAACATGTTGATTGAGCATTTCTTAAAATCCAAGAAGTATTGACAAGTTGCCTCAGAAGGAATTTCATATTTATTACTGGTACAACAACGTTTGAAACATAAAAAAATTTAAGATTGAAGGACCCTAAGGCTAAAAATTATATGTATCAAACTATTGATCGTGCAACCTTAAGAGAGACTTCTCTACAAAGACATTTCTAAGTAGATATAGAATTCCATGAAAAGAGAACTATCAAAGCTCTGCAAAAGCAAGGAGGTAACAACTTTAAGCTTTACATTCAGAATTTTAAATACTTCAAATAAAGTTAGGAGAACTTGATGATAATTGTCAACAAAATATGAATTCATATAGACAATAAAAAAGATATCACTATCATTAAAAAAATACTTCAACCCATGACATCAAAATTTAATTTTATTATCTGTGCTATAGAATATTCTAAAGATATAGATGAGCTTTCACTTGATAAATTACAAAGCTTATTATTGTATACGAGTAAAAGTTTAAACAACAACATAAAAATGAACCAGTATTGAAGCCCTCAATTGATTATCTTGCAAATTCAATATAAGATATAAGGAAAAAGATAAAGGATAAAGATGTAAGAGGTATTAACATCAATAACAACTTTCTCAAAGGAGAGGAAGGAGCAGAGGTGGAAATCATTCAACCACTTCATATTTAAAGTTAGCAGACAAGTAAAATATGGAATGTTATCTGTGCCACAAGTATGGACATTATTAAACTGAATGTAAAACTAATTTGTCTAAGGATAATGGAGAAAAATCAAATTGTGCATAAAAGAAGAGAAGATATCTCTCTTAGCGGTTGTTTATGCAAAAGAAGAAACCAACAAGAATTTGTGGTATTTAGATATAGGCTGCAAAAACCATATATGTGATAGTTAATTAGTTTCGTCCCATTTTATATGAATTATTTTAAAATAATGTGATCTGGAAATAATTCTAAGGCCTCAGTCATTAATAAAGGAAAACAAATCATCCATACTAAAAGAAATGTTATTCAAACCAATTTTCAGTATTTTTTTTCCAAAGCTGAAGGCCAATTTGTTGAGTATGAGTTAATTGTAAGAAAATGGTTATGAGATTCCCATCAAAGATGGAATATGCCAAATACAAGATGCCAAATTGGTCTTAATCTTTATACTATGTTATAAGTATATCATCTAGTGTCATATAAATAATCCTAATGTACCCTTTATTAACATACATTTTCTAGCATGCTCCATGTCTTGTCATAACCCTTAAACCATGAGAAAAATTTAAATATAGAAGTTTCTTCTTTATTTTAACAAAATGAAACTTTCAATTATACAATAAATTTAGCACTAATAAAAAAGTTTTTTTGAAAACTTTATACACTTATTTCAATTCTAATATTATATTTATTAATTAACTTATTACTAATTTATGTGTAACGATGTGCAGATGACTATTCGTTACGGAAAAAAATATTGAGAAGTAATATAATGATAAATGTGAAAGTAATATAACCCTATTTTAAGAAGCAAATAGCCCAAATGCAAGCCTATAAATATGATATTAATAGCTTAAGTGAGATAATCTTTAGAAGCAATAACTTGATTTAGTAAAGTTAAACTTAATTCGGTGAGAAAAATTAAGAGCATAATTGAGTTGCAAACCTTGATTTGATAAGAAATACTAGAAATAAACTAGTATTATCACGAAAAGAACTTACTTTCTTCATGAATGCCTCAAAAAGAAAATAATTAAGGATATGTTGAGTGTTTAAACTAAAATTAATTATTTTTTATTAATCATTTAAATTGATAATAGTGCATAATTCTAATCTGATTTTTTAAATAAAATAAATTACCTTAAAAAATAAAAAATAAAATAAATTACCTTAGGTTCTCTCTCAAGAGTAATTCAAAATATGAACAGTAGAAATAAAAAATATTCGAGGCTGCGAAGCCAAGCTTGAAACACAGGCGATATGGCATTATGTCGACGCATCTTCTTTCACTCTCCCTTACATAAAACATCTTCTTCCCATTTTCTTCCCTCCAATCTAATTACTTTCTTCCCCAACTATCCTCCTAGGTTTCCTAATTTCTCTAAGCTGCCACTCCTGCGAGAAGGTTCTCCACCTCTTATCTCCTGTGTTCACGCCTCATCGTTACCGTCGCCTTCCATGGACTCTCCTCCTCAAGGTTACAGAAGAAATGTTGGTATTTGTCTTATCAATTCTTCCAAAAAGGTTAGCATGATTAACGATGTTTCTTCTTATTTACTGTCTTCTAGCATGTGCATGGCAATCCTAAATTGGTGTTTATTCATTTTTTTGTTGCAGATTTTTGCTGCTTCAAGGCTTGATATACCTGATGCTTGGCAAATGCCGCAGGTAATTTTCCAATATTAGTTCCTTTTTTTTTATTTGTTACAGTGAATTTGGTAGTTTCATTATTGTCAATGTTTGGAGTCCAGTTTGTTGTCAGGAAAAGTGTTTCACATATTCTGACCTGTGCATAAACGAGTATATTTTCCCACTTCTCGTCAGTGTTTTGCTTGTGGATTCTTCATATTTTGACGATTATCTTATATACGTGATGCGTAATTGAATGACTTGCTTCTCTGGTTCTTTTTTTTTTTTTTTGTTTTTTGTGAAAATTTTAATGATTTTTGGCCTCTATCACGGTGAACATCTTTGATTTTTGTGCAATTCATGTATGATATCATGATTGCAGGAGTTTTAATTTGGATATGTATGTATCTACATGGGAAATATTGCAGTGAGCTTGAGCTGACATGACGTTAGGTTTCCAGTCCTCTCTTTTTTACAACTAAAATCTAAGGTTTAATTGGCTAACCATGAACATCATGACCTCAACCATAGATATATGTTGATACGTGAGTATTTATAGTTTACATATAGTAGATTTATGAACTGTTAATGAGAGATTACTACATATTCTGATGAGAATACTTCTCATTTAGTAGTCGTGTAGCTGCATTACCAAATGGGTAGAGGCTAGAGGAAAAAAGGATTGATTCCAACCAATCTGATCAAGAAGACTTGCATTTTAGTCTCTATTTGCAACAGTTAGGCTATTGCTTGACTTGTTGTGCCTTGAGAGAGCACTTATACATTGTACTCTTCTTGCATCTCTAGATGTTACTGCAGGCTTTCCAGTAGTTACTTGAAACCATGTAATGCAGGGTCGGTCAATAGGTAGATAATATTAAAGGATCTCTTGAGTTTGCAGCCATGGCATGTTGAATTTTTACAAATCTTTTGTCTGAAACAATATGGCAGTATTCATGCTAATTCAGCACAGAAGAAGAGTAAGAGCTAGTTGATCTTTTGGATACTTTATCTTATAACTATTAATAAACTGAGTTTCCTACATGGGTGGCACGGCCTTCATGCCTGTACTCTTTTGTATGTCCCAAAATGAGGATGCCAATTAATAAAAATAAAATTGCGTTAGTTGCACCTTTACTAGTAAACTGAAAAACTGTAGTCTTCCTTTCTGTTTTTCTTTTCATCTGAAAACCTCAAGAACAGACATCTGCTAACAGTCACTCAAATCATGCCCTCGGAGATTGCTTGAACCCTAAAGTGCCTTTTTTGGCTTACACATTTTATTTGTACTTACTTTGATAAACCCTAGAGGGATTTTCATATAATTTTTTTCTTCTAATTTTCCGTAGGAAGACATTTTTTTACATCAAATTGCCCATCCAATTAAATTTGTAGTTAAGGATAATAGAACTCGTATCATATTCATTTTTGCAATAGGTGGAAATATCTGTTGATAATCAGTCCCATAAGTCTCTTAAACCTTTAGGCATAACTCATGCCTTGTACCTCTATGTAGTTCCATTGAGTTTGTACTTTATAGTAGACATTCACCTGTACCTTACTAGTCTCTTTCCCTTGGGTAAGTCCCTATCTTTTTATGTTTAATTCTTTTACAGTGCCTGCATTTTAACAATTAGAACATTTTTCTTATTCTTCATAAGTTAAAGCCTTAGATGGTGTATTAGGAATAAGCACTGCATGTAGACTCATAAGAAATTTCTTGTGAAACAAAGAACCCCTTTCAAATGATACAAAGTTTGGTATCAAGTAGAGTGGATGCTTAGGGCATTCTCTTGTCCCTTTTTTGAGTGCAATAGGTACATCATAAAGTAAAAGGTTCTTAGAGCTTACCTCATTTACGGCACCCAATTCAAATTTTTGAACTTGCTTTGGATCAGAGTCCAAGTTTTTTCTTCTTAAATACAAGGAAATTGTGGTT